CTATCTATCTATCTATCTATCTATCTATCTATCTATCTATCTATCTATCTATCTATCTATCTATCTATCTATCTATCTATCTATCTATCTCACCTAAAATGTTGCACAGAGCGGCATAATTTTAGCACTCAGGTGAAGTCAGTTTCTGTCTGGTTTAGACATAAAAAAATTATTATAAAAACAGTAGTTATGCTACTTGTCGCCTTCATGTTCCTCGCTAAATACTAACTTACATATTAAATTACTTCACTTTTGTACTACCTAACCGTGGCAGCTGGAAACACCGCATTAATCAAAGTTGCCACTGGAGTGTAATAATTCCTGCGGCCTGAGAGAGGCACTTGAATGCAGCACGCACACTTTTTACGTACCGACCTCTGACAGCTGATCCTCAGCTCCCTCCCTCTGCGAACACGGAAGCAGCATGGCGTCCAACAGCTCCGACAGCCAAAGTGTTGCACAGCACCGACTGAGAATAATTACCGGCCATCTACAGAGACCCGTGAACGGTGATGCAGCCATCCAAGCGGCGGAGTGCAAAGCCCAAGGGACCAAACCAAATGTCGCCAGCAGCGAGGGGAGGACGATGCCCAGGAGGAGGTACAAGGCTGTGATGGAGCGGTTTGACCACGGTCCATCCATCCAATGTTGTAGTTTTCTCTTACGCATTTAATCTAATATTCACATATAAGAAGTTGTTGGAAATCTTGGTGCATTACAGTCRTTTATAATTTGCCTTATTTTTCTTGTCAGGAATTAATAGCATTGCTAATAGTTGAAGCAGACGTAGGTTAGCTTGTTAGCTTCTCGGTTAGAATAGCCATTCATACTAGAAGTGGGTGGGTGCGGATATGAGTTTGGTGTGGTTGAGTCTCGCAAAGTTGTTTCACCACGTAACTTGTTAAACATTGTCTCACTTGGTTTTTGAGACCAGTTCTTCAGTATCAACAAACCCAGATTAATTAGCCGCACTTTTGTCGTCCCACTTGACGAGACGAGTCAAAATATGGCGGCATTTTGTTTATATTTTCTCAATCTCTTTGATTTCACCGTTAGTTTTATGTTTCACCGTTACGTAGTTCAGTGCCTCCGTAATTAATTAAGCGTAGACGAGCTTTGTGAATAGCTTCCACACATTACAGAACTCCCTCCTTTTAGAATAAGTGTGGATTTACTTTGTCTGATAATCCTAATCAGATTTAAGAAAAAAAAAACCTTCAAATAAACCATATAATTTAGCTGTAACATCAAGGACGTCTTTTCTAGTGATGTGATTGGTCAGAAGGGTGGCCTGACTTTCAACATGACATGAGCGCTGGCAAGCCATTTTATCATATAATAATTAGGCGGCTATTCAGAGCAGATGTTATTGTTTCTTAGCCAGTTAAAAAAAAAAAAAAAAGATATCCAGAAGGTCCTTCTTCCCATCTACAATCAATCTTTCAAAGTGCTAAAGTATTATTTATAAAAGAAATGCAACATTGTATTGTCATTTATGAGGATTGGACTTGTAGCTCCAGATATCCACTAGGGGTGAGCAGTTAGTAACCTACTTTTGYATTTTTATTTGCACAAAATAATTGCATAACATACTTGACAATGTGATCATGCAGATATGAACATATTCTTTACAAATGAGCACTTAGAGCACATCCCAACAACCTATTATGGAAAGTTCCACTTGAGGCAACCACAGTCATGTCATGCAACTTACCAATATCAGGAAAAATATATAAACACATAAATTCAAAATAAATTACATTTGAACTGACTTAAGTTTATATCGTTTTATGCACAAACTGAAAACAGTCACTCTTACAGTATCCAGCAACATACCTGTTGATGATATAATCATAATAATTTATTCTGAATGGGGGGAAAAAAAAGCCCAGTATTCTGGAAATCTGAAATGTAACTTCTGGCTAGGAAGAAATAAATCTTGTTTGTTTGCCATACAGTCAAGTGCAGTCATGCTACAGCGTCTGCCTAACCTTTTTCAGAACTTTAAATTTGTCAAATTATTTTTTCCTATCTCAAATTTATTTGCAGAGACCTTGAAATATAGTATTCGTTTGTGGAAATTTGATTTTAGAGATTATTTTTATTTTTTATTTTGAGGTGGTAAGAATGTTATTTTGACTAGAAAAAATACCAGTATTGATAGCTTAAAGTTGAATGTATAGTATAGTTTGATTTTATGATACAATGTTTTGCCATACACAATTATTACAATGCMCTGACAGTGTTTCCCAACCCTGGTCCTCAAGTACCCCTATCCAGCATGTTTTACTTGTTTCCCTGCATTCAGCAGGTCTTCAGAAGATTGTTAATCACTCTTCATTCAAACCAGGTGTGTCAAATCAGGGAAACATCTAAACATGCAGGAATGAGGTCCTTGAGGACTGAGAATCCCTGCTTTAATACATGTTATCTGATTTATTACTTACAAACAAATGGCAAAGAATCAATGGCTTCCAAAGGCAACACTAAAAAACATAAAACTGAGTCAATATTATATTTTGAAAATGTCTCATAAAGCTCAGAGAAGCTCTTGAGGTGTTGGTCAACATTTAAAGCAGTGATTTTTAGATATGTTTCCCTGCTTTGACACACCTGGTTTGAATGAATGAGTGATTAACAATCTTTTGAAGACCTGCTGAATAGCAGAGAAACAAGTAAAACATGCTGGATAGGGGTCCTTGAGGATCTAGTGTCAGTCTGGTATGACATCAGTAACTCCTAAAACGTGTACCATTCGGCCTTCATCACATCTTATGAGCAAAATGAGACTGATACTATTTTGAAAATATTATGTCCTATAGTTTTATCTGTTTCATATCTTCACTGTTTAGAGAAAGCTATGACTTTTGWATAATTAGAGTGGATTTGTTCATCGGCATTATCCCAAGAGTAGTTTTTTTTAGATGGCTTTTGGTAATGAACAATCTTATAAAGATACAGATATTTTTTCCATTTTATTTTAATACTTCATAATTTGACTTACAGTTTGTGTTGAGAATGCACACAATAGGTATCAAATAAGCTTTTTGCCTCATCATCTTGTGCATATCCACATACTCTAATGTAAAAATGAAATCTAAGTGTTTTTATATCTCTTCAGTGTACTTTTTCTAGTTTTGCTGACACTCCTAATGGCATCATGAAATGCCATGAGGGTGCATTCAAGGAAAAAAAAATCCTGATTTTCAGGGTTTGATTGAATGCCTTTAGACACCACAACTTTAGCGTATGCACTGAGACAGATTTAAGTTGAGCAGTGTAAAGAGGCTGTAAAACTTTGGTTCAGCTCGAGGTAAAACTGAAAAACTGCTTTGGGAGGTCCCTAGCTGAGGAAGCGCTCACCAAATTTGCATCTAATCACCCAAAGTTTTTAGTATAAAAACATCCAAGATATAAATTGCTGTTTTGAACATGCTGAGCTCCATTTGTTCACCTTTTTTATTTTTATTTTATAGCTTGTTAAGCTATGCCAACTTGATTTATATGACTCTGAGTGATTAATCACTCATTTGTGTCACTATCTGCAAAACACCTGGTGTCATTTATTCTTATAGCAGAAGCTGCTTTGAAACTTTGCAAAGAACACTTTGAAGGGGAGAAAACAGGAATAAACCTCAAGAATGGCACTAGATGATGAATTTACCTTCCTGGATGGACAAATGGTAAAATCAGAAAGAAATGCAGACAACAGATATTGTTTTAGAGCTTTTATATA